CGGCGCCGCGTCCGACTCCGCGGGCCGGCCAGCCACTTCGGTCCGCTGGGTCAGCCCGAGCGGGTCTACAGTCTGTATGTCCGAGCTCCGCGTCTCTTCCGACGCCGCGTCCGCGCCTCCTGCCGCCCGCAGCACGCTGAGCTCCGCCGCCCTGTCCTGCCGCGCCGGCTCCTCCACTCCCGCCATCTCCTGCCCGCCCGGGCCGGCCTGAATCGCGTCTCCGGCGCCGCCGGCGACCCCCGGCGGCCAGGCGGGCGACCGGGTGCCGCCGGCCAGCACGAGCGGCCGGTACGGTGGCACGGCGGCGCCGCCCAGCGCCGGTGGATCATCGACCGCCTCAGACTCCTGCAGCAGCTCCGACTTCACCTCGAAGTCCATCAGCAGCGGCGCCGGCGCGGCCTCGGCGCCGCCGGCCGGCGACAGCGTCGGCCGCGCCGGCTCCGGCATGTCGCCCAACGCCAGGAAGGCGGCGCACACCGGCTCGTGCAGCTTGCGCTGGTAGATGGACGGGCACACCTTGCCGCAGCCGGGGCACGTGGTGCGGCCCTGGTGGGCGGCGCGGTGGTGCGACCGGCTGCCCCAGGCCACCGAGCACTGGCACAGCGAGCACCAGAAGCGGCGCGACGTGCGCAGCACGCCCGCCGGCGACATCTCCCGCTCTGTGATCCTGCTGCCGCCGGCCACGGCCTCCACCACCGTCTTGGCGCAGCCCTGCGGCAGCGCCACGCTCGGGCTGGCCAGACTCGGGTATGACGGGTACGGGTCGAGACGCGCCGGCGCCGGGCTAGTCCAGGTGGCGAACGAGGGCAGTGGCTCTCCGCGCGGCCGGACGAGGGAGCGCGGCTCCGCGCGAGGCCCCGGCGGCGGCAGCCGGTCGCCGCCGGTCAGCAGCGAGCGCAGCACGCCCGCCGGAGGGACGGGAGGCGGCGGCTGCTGAGCGCCGCCGCCTCCCGGCGGCACCAGCGGGGCTCGCTGCGGGACTCGCAGCGGCGCCCGCAGCGCGGCGCCCAGCCGGGCCGCCAACAGGGCCGGCAGCGGCTGGCGCTCGGGCCGCGCCGGCGGCGTCACCTGCCGCACCAGCAGGCCTTGCGCACGCAGCCGCGCTAGCTGCTGGGAGAGTGCGGCGGCCGGCGGCGCGCCGTAGAGTTGGGTGGGCGCGAGTGCGCGCGGCCGCGGCGCGCCCGGGTCGCTCCTCGCCGGCGCCGGCCGCCCACCTGGGAACGACGGCCGTCCGTCAGCACCCGCCGGCAGCGGGAGCGACCATCGGTGACCGGCGGCGGGTGGGACAGAGTCGGCCCGGGGAGCAGCCCAGAGGAGACGGCGACCGACCGTGTCCGGCTCGACCAGCCGAACCTTTAGCGGGCGGTGACAACGCACGCCATGCCGTGTTTCCCGCGACGACAGCGTTGTGAAGCCGTCGCCCCTTCCAGCGTCCCCACTGGGCATATTTCAGTTTCCTTACTGATGTCGTCGGGAGACAGCGCGAGACGATTTGTATAGAAAGTAGTTGTAAATAATTCCCAGATTTATAGACGTTTTGAGTTGTCAATTGACGATGTCCGCTAGTCGTGCTTCAGTATAACGTGGTTCCGTATCAGTCATTTAGGGCCACAGAATTGTGAATTGCTACGAATGCCAATGATGATTATGATACGTTATAAATTGCACATGTCACTACAGATTGACTCATATCGTTTCCACAAATTCACATCATAATGCCGCGAGAAGTATTTAAACGAAAATTTACTACCTCACTGTGCCGTCGTGAGGTAGTAAATTAAATTTACTACGTCACTGTGCAGGGCCGTCTACCGCTCAGTCTGGTTGTGCTTACGACGCACCATGGAATAATAATGGTCTGATGAGAAGGGACGACCTCCGAACATCGCAACAAAATTCCTCGTCTAAAACATCTGCGTCCATTCTGGCAACTTAGAGTGCCACCACAATTCCCACGCATCAGAGGTCGGCGTTTGACAGCATTAGCGAAATAGCGCTACTACTTTCAGTGTGCTGCCTGTGACGCATATATTACTGCTCAGTTCGCGTATGCCCCAGCCTACAGGACGAAATGACTAACCAAAACTGGAGTCAATCTTGGCGTTCCCAAACGTTGCCATCTCGCTGTTTCTAACAAGCATGCAGCGACGTCCACGTGGAGTCGAATCAATCGCCGATCATTCTGGTGGTGTTTTTTGATACTCGGCACAGGACAAAATAGAGGGTTAGCTCTCTGTCCACCTGCAATTGTGTTCTCTGGCACGTAATGTTCGTTTCTGTTCTGTTTTTCTTTGTTTTACTTTGTTTTGTTCCGCAAGAGTTTTGCGGACGAATGGCATGCCTGCCTACTGGCCGAGCGCTAGGGCGTAGGCGGGCCTGTATCTGACAGACCATGCGCCGGCGTGGAACGCGCCTCCGCTGGAGAGCCGCGGCGCGGCGCGGCGCCGCCGCACTGCGCTGGGCGGGCGGCCGGCGGCTGCAGTGACGCCCCGCCGGCGGCCGGCGCGGGGGCCACCTGCCGCCCGCCGCCGCCGCCGCCCGGCTCCGGCGGCACACACACAGACAGACACACAGACAGACAGGCGCGGGGCCGGGACGTCCTTACGGCACGGCGGCCGGCGGCGGCGGGGCCCGCAGCGGGGCGGAGTTCAGCGGAGTTCGGGCCGCGGGAACGTGCGGCATCGATTCCGCAGTCGACTGGTGTCATCTTATGCGCCGCCTGCTCAGCGTCCGCGTCACCGCGTCAAGACCGCCGCGTTTTGAAAGCTGGCGTCGGCAATGCATTAGTAATGGTCGCCTCCTCGTGCGACTCACGAGTTCGGAGTATGAACGACACCAATCGACCCAGCAAACAATGCCGGCGTTCACTTCCCCAGAAAGCCACCGCGGAAGGGCCACTCCCTGAACTCCGTGGCTCCCGAACGGACGAGCCGAACGGTGACCGGACTACAGCCACTCAGCGAGCGGCAGGGACAATCAACCACCCTCGTGGCAGTCGTGCAAAGCTAACGGTTCCGCCGTCCGTGCTGTAAGGACGCCCCAACACGCGGGACACACGCCAGCGCCGAACAGATGGCGCGTCGCGTCGGACAGGCACAGCCTCCGACCAAGCACCGTCGCTCGCGGTCAAATGGCTGCCGGGACGAGACGGACTGAATTCATTGCGAAAGCGTGAGCAACTACTCGACGTTTTTACCGGGCAATTCACTGGCGAGACGGACCTGACCCTCTCAGGCAGAGCGCACGTAAAGATAATTTTGAAAAAAAAAATCAGGATGAATAAGCCCATTCTCGTCGAAAGAGAGGACAACAAGCCAGGTAATATCTACCAGATGAATGCAAGATCCCGCCACTTTTGCCGGGTCTGGAAATTCGGAGACGGGCAGCCCGGCTGGTTACCAAGAACCCACAATTTAACAAGATGCAACGAGGACTGCCATCTAAAATGACCGCATAATGGCGAACGCGAAGCGTCCGCACAGACTCCCACACTCGACATCGCAGGGAGCCGGTACTTCGAGCTGGACCCGTGGTCTGGGTTCGGAGCACGCAGCCCCGGTCATTCCGCCACGTTTGTGACGTCACAGCCCGCCACATTCAGCTGACTGCGATCTCTGAAAGGCCGCCGACGGCTGCCCAATGAGCGCCAGCTGACGCGTGACGTCACGCCACGCGATCAATAGCGGCGGGACGCCCGCCCGCCAGACGACCGCCCGCGGGGGGATGGGGAGAGAGGAGAGGCGAGGCATGGCTCCATTTGACCGCGAGAAACAAAAGCGGCCGGCCTTGTTCCCAGAGATCTCGATGCTCAGCTACGCGGCCAGGTGCACCCCGACAACCTGCCCTTTCCTGCATCGCAATGCTTAAGTCAACCTGAAGCTAAAGTGGATGAGCTGTCTAGAAAGTCTCCACGCCGGATTGTGAAAGTCGACAATCATAACTGCCTCCCGCCCCCACAACGCATGAAGCTACATTACCCCAACCGTGGCGGATGGTTGACCCACAATGCCTAGCAAATCACAGCACTGCACAGCACTTCCAACTACGGCCACAGCTACATCGAAATACTTTTTATGCTGAGACTACCGAATGTAAACCTAACGTTCACCAGGCCAACAGCCAAACCGAAAAGGTGGATTATTTCAAGGCGTGTTTAGACCGCAATAACACCAGCGGCAGTTCAACAGAATTGAACATCAACTGAATGACCGGACCCAAAAGCTCCGCGAGTTCACAAAATGCGCGGCGTGCAAACGAGAATATTCGGGAGGCATAGAATGTTTTTCTGACTATCTCAGTTTAAAAGCGCAAAGATAAAAGTAAAGACTCTAACCCCAAACCCATCGCGTAAACCAACAGCGCGCCATTCTTCAGTGTGACTGATCCAGGTCGTCAGCTGCATAAGCGGCTTCTAGGCGAATCGATGCATATTTTGCTATCGATAGCGACCAGAAGTTGCGTCTGGCACTTTGAACCTAAACCATCTGCCATAGCTGGCATCGCGACGGACTTTCGGAGCGTCTGTGAGGAGACCGAATCCATTCCATCCATGACCTGAATCTCTCAACATGGCCAGCGGTTCTGTTCGTGTCCGTTGTCGTCTCGTACTCCATATTTCGTTCACCCCAAAAATTTCGAGGAACGTCGTTAGCGAATGCGCGCTCACCTCACTGATGTCCAACGGTTATTTATCGCCATCCCCAACATTGATGTTTCATCAATCCGTGGCACAGAATTCAATCACCTGGCAAACTAACTTCGCCATGAAAATTCATGACCGTGCAAAAACCGTATCGATTTTATGCACCTGAGGGCCAGGATGACAGATGTACCGCCGTGTCAACCCAATATTCCTACTCGGCGCCAATGGCAACGCGCGTTCAACCTCGACCGCTAACAATAAATTAACCCCCGCAACACCACTAGACTTACAACTGTAGCTGAGCATCGGGACCTGGGAAGAAGTTCGGCCAGTGGAGAAATACATGAAATTGACCTACCTGGTGTTGCACTATCTGAGTGTTCTTGTGAGGGGAAGCTCGAAGGACCGGCGACAGCTGCCAAAAGGTCTGGAACAGACAGACACGACAGGTTTGCAACACGGTTCTCATTTAACAGCTGCATTTTTTCCCTAGCCTCACAGACCACTTTCACCAAAGCTTCAAACATCACCGGCACGCGCACACGGTGCACGGCACTCACACGTAGCTAGACCCAACACGCGCAGTCGAGGGGAAGAACGGCGCACGACTCACGCGCCACCACGGCCGCTCCGGGGGCGGCGCGCGGCTCCAGAGGCCGCGACCGAGCCGCCACCGCGCCCACTGACCTTCGTCCTGGAACTCGTGCGGCGGCGGGTGGGCGGGCGTGCCGCCCAGGAAGCCCATGTGCACATTGTCTGCGTCCGTGAGCAGCGGCATCACGCCGCTGCTCGAGCTGTTCTCGCCGCCGTACCCGTCACCATCAACGTCCTCCAGCACCAGCGGCTCCTCCTTGACGCACATGGGCTCGGAGCCGGGCCGCGGCGGCGCCGGCGGCGTGTCGAGCGGCGCTGCCGCCGGCGGCGGCGCCGACGGCTGTTGCTCCACGCTGCGTGCTCGCTTCGGTGAGAGCAGGCCGTCGGTGGACGGCGGTGGTGAGTGGGAGCGCTTGGGCGGTGGCGGTGGCAGCGGCGGCGGTGGTGGTGGCGGCAGCGCCGGCGCCGGCCGCTGCCGCACTGGTTCGGGTGATAACCGCGGAGGCGGCGGCGGCGGGGCGGACGGTGCAGACGACTTCGGCTTTCTTGGTGGCTGGCAAAGATGAGCAATGTGTGAGCGCACAGTGAGTGCCCGGCATAAACATCAACAGTGAGCTCCACACCAGGGTGCTGAAGTGCATGATGGCAATAGGAATTATTTAGATATGCTTCACAAACAAATTCCAAGCACAATGATAGTTTCTGGCAAGCACTGTGTGTGCACCTGGTCACAACGCACCTGCGCAAGGCTTATCAACTGAAACAGGCACTATTCTGGCGTCTCTGTCCACCCGGCATCATCTTACTCCATGTCCATGAGGCAATGCTTGTGGGTTCTCACCTCTGGTTGCGCTGGCGGTTCGTCATCACCTGTGAGACCTCGCACCTGGAGCGTCTCTGCAGTCTTCAGGAAGGAGCCCAACTCACTCTGGGCAACATTCACCTTGCCCCGGTACATAAATTCCACTATGTTGGCCAGGTCTTTGAAGGAAATATCCCGCATGAAGAACACTGGATGTGTTCCCAGATTACCCTGAGGGCCAGGAGACAAAGTCAGTTGAGTTCTGTTGAAGAATATCTTATTAGGATTGGTCCATTTTTGGATGCACACAGCTTTTTACAACACAGGATATTCCATAATGTTATCATCTATGATATGACAAAATGGCATAGGGTATTCCATGTTATCACTATGATATGACAAAATAATGCACATACCAATTCATTTAAAAATGTCTTGTAATCTGATCCGTTTAACTCACAGCACATAATGCAGCAGCATACAAAGTTCTCACCTTGAGAACATCCCTGAAGTATGGACTGCAAGCAGACAGCATCATTCTGTGCACTTTTATCTGCTGGCCCTGAGCACACAATGTCACATCGACCAGCTCTCCATCACGCCTAAGGTCATTAAAGAGGCTGGTCACACTTGTCTGGTAGCTGTTCCACTGAAGACAAAAGTTTTGCCCCTCATCCATCATGAGCAACCTGGAAACAAACAAAAACTATCAATACACACAAAAAGGCAGCTTTCTTGCAATTGTGGATGACAGTAAGCCCAAGACATTTTCTTCACCACAAATATACACCTACAAGAAAGTAAAAAATTGTTCTGTGTGAGCAACGTGAGATGAAGGCAGGCTGTTCCTGAAACTTCGACGGCATCGCGTGCCACACTCAAACCACAACTAAACGAGGGGTACTGCTCGCGGGTTGTAGCCGAATCACAGCCCATATCACACAATCTTTCCTGTCAATGCACTCAGTGCCCAGGTCCGTTGCTGCTCACCAGCACACGTTTAACCCACCTACCGTCCAACAATGACACCGACGCGCTCATACACCGGGCCCGAGCCCGCACCCAAAACAACAACGTCTATTGACGGACCAGGGGGAAGCGCAGAGAATATCTCGCACACGGTACGGTTTAACGTTTCTGGATTACACGTAGAAAGCATTATAACGCAAGAAAACTTGATATGAAAGTACATGTCATACTTACATGTACCTCTAAAAATAAGGTGAATTACTCATATACTGATAAATAAAGTATTTTCTATTCTTTTCATATAGCATTTTCATCAAAGCTGCACCTAAAACTATCAAAAATGGGCATCATACAGAACGTAAAATGGTGACGTCAAACACCATCCCAAACACTCGCTTGGGCACGCGGAAAACCACGGCTCTGCGAATCTCCGGCTCTTGGGGAGGATTTAGCATTGGAGAGAAGGCATATTCTCCACCAAGAAATCCAAGCTCAAAATGTCATGAAAATGCATCAAACGGTCATAAAACAACAGTATGAAACTTTTTATCGATCTACAGAGCATTGCCACAGAATCATGATCTGGGTATAAAGCTAAAGCAGGGTTTCTTGTTCTCTGTTGGGCATAACTTTAACTGGTGTGTTTATATGATTATTTACATTTTTTTAGATTTACCTTTTATTTTGGCTGGGTTTTACCAACCAATATTTTTTCCAAGAAATAAGGTCCTAGAAAGCAATACCAAAACCGATAAACAACCTCCTGTTGCTCTGTCATTGAAGCCTGCTGTTGCTTGCATCCCAGTTATGTATCCAATGGACCTTGTTTTGGAGGAGATGCACAAGATAGTGTAAATGGTTGGTATTGTAGATAAAGGCCATATATAAATTTAGCTCAGTGTCATACACTTAGAGAGGTACTGTCTCAGACTCTCAACATCAGTGAGTAGATGTAGTGATACTCACTTTAGGCAGCTGGATTGTTCTGTGAGGAGGAAATAATTCCTCCACCCCTGTTGCGTTGGCCTCCGAGCCCCCATCACACAGCAGCCTGACATCCCAGATAGTGTAGTTTTGTACATAACTTTGTGGATGGGGTGAGCAGAGAAATCCTTTATCCCAAACAAATGGTGCAAACCATGTTCTCCCTACTTTTGACCAAGTTTTTTTCTCAAAGTGGGGGCTAGCATCCTATCCAACTAAATAGGGAACTACACACTCGTTCCTAAATTAAGTACATCTAAGTCAGAAACAGCCTAGGTAGGTATCACAATGCCCCAGAATCTTTCCTCCAGGTGAGAAAGCTTGTGCATTGGCTATAATGTAGCTGCGCTAACTATTACACCCCAGATGCTCCTATTTATATTGCGGCTTGCATATTTCAACAATAAATGTAGCACTATGTGCCCTGGAGAATGGCGCAATTGGTGCATAACATTGCAAGCATCTGCTTCTATCAGCATTTGTTGGGCCTGACACCTTCACAATAGAATTATCAATATCAGCAACTTTCCATAAACTCCAAAAAACTACAGTAGGTGCAAGCATAGACTTAGGGAAGGAAGCACTAACTTAGGAAGCTAAAAAATTTAAGAATTGCAAGCAGCCAATTTGTAATAGTCTTTGGCAATCACTGACACCAGCTAGAGCATGGTGTTTACTGTCATCTGCTGCCATAGACAGTTCTTTAGTGCCAGCTGTGGATGCAATACAAATTCTCTTGGGTTACTCTGTTCTCACTACAAGCCATAATCTTAATATTTTTGTTCTCTTCCCAAAGAGCCAAAACCAAATTTTGGATACTGTGTGAGCATGGCATGTGATGCTGCAGAAGTTTCAGGAACAGCTTGCATTCATCTGACATTGCTCAAACAGAACAATTTTTCATTCTTTGCATAGTATATTTGTGGAGAACAAATGTCTTGGGGCTAAAAAAACAGAAGCACCAAGTTTCAGACAATGTGGTTGTTGTTGATATTTATTGGAGTTTAGGGGCGCGCCAACTGCAGTGGTCATTTGGCGCCCATAACGTGAGTTTCAGACAATGATTGCCAATGTCAACAACTGTCTATTAGCTTCATAGTCTCAAAAAATAAAGCAGGTGTGAGCATAGACTTAAGAAGGAAGCATTTACTTAGGAAGCAAGAAAATTTCAGACTTAAAAGCAGCCAATCTCTAATGATTTTTGGCAATCACTTGATCAGTGATGATGATCTAGCAGCACGGTGTTTACTGTCATCTGCTACCAAACAATGTCCTTCAGTGCCACCTATGAATAGAGTGCAAATTCACCTGGGCTATTTTGTTCTCACTACCAGCCATGATTTTACAACTTCTGTTCCCTCCCCAAGAGCCAAAACCAAATTTCAGACACTGATACAAATCCAGCACCTAAGCCTCGGACGACGTAACGCGACGGTTCCGGCATAGCACAACGCGAATGCATGGCGTCTTGTCAATTAAGAAACTCATTTTTTCAGTTCAATAACACAATCACTGAAAATGTGGAACGGTTCCAAATACGTGCCAAACTGGAGCCATTATCCAACACGACGAAAAACAGCACGATAAAACACCATTACTTAAACGAATACACCTACCTGGCGTTAAATTCCTGTACGTCATGCGCCCAGTTGCCCCTGCTACGCTTGCAGCTACCGCCCGGAACAAAAAGGATGGCTAGTTATCAAATATAGCGCAAAATACGCAGAGTTCCCCTACGACCACACCAACCGCAACGCGCCGACGGCAACGACGCCGGACGCCGGTTGGAGACACAAAATGGCGCGACTCTCATGCCCTCAGGAGAATTGATACGGTGACCAATCGGTACGAGGGACGGTCTGGCAAAATGTTTAAAACCAAGTTTTTGTTATTGAAATAACTTTTTAGCTCTGAGAAATAACTTGATTATCATACTTATAAGCAATTTATCAATAACCACAACCACATCAGGGGAAGCATGTTCGATACCGTTCAGCAGAAGCTGTTATGCTTTTGGTGACGTAGAAAGCCCGTTTTTGAGTGGTGGTATCATAATTTTGTACCAAGTTCAGTTTCCTTTACCTTATCTTGGCAGTATAGCAGCTATCAGTAGGTTGCTTAAAGCAAGGTCATCGTGCTTAGCAATTCAAACATACAAGAATCTAAAGACCTATGAAGTGCAGCCATGTCCAGTATGCATAGCAATAAATGGCAAATGCGTTAATGCTACTGAATTTGTCATCGTTCTTGGAGACTTCTTTTCTTGTACAAAGCTGACGGTAAAATAAGTGAAATTAGCGTGTATCCTATCATGAAAGGTCAGTGCCACCAACATCAGCTGGCTGGCCTTGACTTGCTCCCTTGGGCCTTGAAATGTAAACAAACCAAGTTAATAATCTAGCCAGAGCTTCCCCACTGTTCGCACGGTTGCGGGGCCGCAGGGTTGTTTATTCGCCAGGCAGAAGAATAAGTACATCTGGCGCCCATTTGCAACTTCCTCAGAATTCAAAGAAGCTGTGTGGAGTACGCCCCTACCAGTTATAACGGGGGCAGGGCAACAGATCGTTATGCTCGGATTGGCATTAAATATGCCTGGTACCTAGGCAGCATTGCTTTTGAAAACAGCCCTACCCAATGTGGTTGAGTACAAGACTGTAAAATAATTAATTCCCATGTTCATGATAAGCCACAGATATGGCTGCTGCTGAGGCCTGGACATTCACATCCAATCTGCAAAATGATCACGTCTCACTTTTGCTTTTTAACTCAGAAGATGAGACGTACCTGTTTAGAGATGTGCAAGAGAGGGAGAGCATGCATGGGACATTCTTGCCTGGAGGGCCTACTACTGTGGCACTGAATACATGGAGTAAAGTGGTTCAAAACAAGCTCAATGAGGTTTGTAATTGTATGCATGTAGACCCTCACTTAGAAGCTGTGCTGTTGTCCTGAAGTAATATTGGGTTAAAGGCAGACAGGCGCATGTAGTCAATAGTAGCTGGGTGGTATTTTTGGTCATTTTAGGTGTTTTGAGCTCAAAGCTTGGAAAGGCAAGCATAAACTTCATGATATTTACATACAACCCTAAGCATAAATTTGAGTATTTTGCCTATGTTGATCATATCTATAATTATGAAGATAAACATTATTATAAGTATTGCATAATATATTGATGTATGCCTGCAACATATTGTGATATTTATGTTTAATGAAAATCTGCTCAAGTACCAATTATGATGTTTTCTAGACATTGGACTATATGTGTATGTGCCATGACTATGCCTCATACAAGAGGGCTGAAGTTCTGTTTTATTTCCAGCTCATTGGTTCTTGTGATATTAGCCCTCAACTGCTCAAGATCCAGAGATTTTTCATCCCGTGCTTGGCCCGAGCAATCAGCCATGTTGTCTTCTACATCAAAGTTAATAACAAGATCAAAAACAAGACTAAGGTATTTTTTAGATTCATTATGGTTTCAAGAGCTATGCTATAATGTATGCTTGTTTTGCTCTCCATGGATGTTTTTCCTTCCATCATTTTTTGCCACCTACATGTCAAAATATAGCACATTATATTAGCATCATGCATGGTTTGTTTGCCAATATTCATTGTCTTTGAGCCATGTTCTTTGCACCTTTCCCTGCCTACTCTGTGAAACAGAAATTGACTAGTAGGGTTTGTTTTGTAACATATTAATGATAGGATCTGGAATGAATAGCATGCATTGTCTGTAGTCACTATGATCACATAAGCAAATTTTTAAGTGAATGTGGCCAAAGGAGTCAGGCTGGGGGGAGGTAGCTATGCTGCATCATTGCTTGCCACAGTAAATGTTATAACATAATTTATTCATTGAGCTGCAATCTGGGGAGCTGGGCTGGTGACAGCAGGTTATGATTCAGTACCAATTCCATCCTTCCAAATTGTTTTGTGCCTTGCTCTACATATTTCCTACAGCCAGCATAAACATACACAAATAGGCTCACAGCATCAAATACACAAGACTCTGCCACTTGAATATCCAGCCCGCTTTGTGTCAGAGCCATGTTGTCTGTCTGACCATATGCATTGCATACAGGTAGTACACATACAGGTAGTTTTTTTTTAACTGAGTAGCAGTTGAGGTGATGAAGCCAGGTATTTGGCTCTGAAGCCAAATCTGAGACATAGACAGTGGTATGGGATCAAAGTTAAGCCAGAGGCTGGTTGCTTTAAGTTGCAGAGTGAAAGCAAAATCAAAGCAAATGCCTGCATTTTTTCAAGAATGCAAAGCATTTTTGATGCTTTTTAAATGTAGAGCCAAATTCCAAGGCAGTGACTTCAGGCATTGTGCACACTAAGATGGAGCATAAATCAGCAGCATGGAACTTCAGAAACAAGAAGTCAACAGAGCCCATCACCTTGAAATAATGAGATGGAACCCCACCCAAGTCGAGCACCAGTAGTGTAGTGGTTAACTACGTGCCTGGGAAACCAGAGGTACCGGCTTTGATTCCCTGCGGTGCCCGCCCTTCCTGCCAGGGTGAGAGGCAGGTGACGCCATATGGCCTCAGTAGCTGAGTGCGTCGTAAAGCCCCAATGACACACACACACACTGACACAACCCCACCCAAGTCAGATCTGGTGTACAATGTGGCATTGTGAAACTGAAGTCATTTTTGGGTCTGTCTAGCACTAAAAACTGGTTTTCAGACTATTATTTTTTTGCCTTTTGATGTTAATATATTCATAGCATTTCAGATAGTTGTGTACTGACTGATAGCGGGTGTTCATTGGTCATGAGGATGACCAGGGGATTTTTAGTTTTCAGCCATGCAAGTGCTGCAGCCACAAAAAGTTTGCCATTTCGTGTTGATACAACCAGCAAGATTTTGTGGCTAAGAGTTGCAACTGAAGGGAAAAAATCCCCGACAAACCCGAGGTCTTTATTTGAAAATTGTTTGAAGCTCAAGCCAAAGCCAACTGTGAAAAATAGTTCCAAGCCCAAGCTTACTGAAGCCATTAGGGGAAAACCTGGGTTTTGAGAAGCAGAAATTGGCTCTGTCCCCATGCCTGCTCTTGAGACGTTGTTGCTGCAGGACTCTTCCTGAACCTTACATTTGTGGATGCCTAAAAAGCCCCACATTCTGGGATGCCAGGAACCATTATGTTCTACCCTTGTATCTAGATGTTTGTCCTGAAGCTCATTGAATTTAGCAGGACGTAGCTTATGCAGCAGTTCACCAAAGGCACGAGGAACGCATTACATGTAGAGTTCCCCAGCTGCTGGTGATTATGCAACAGCGCGGCAGAGGCATGTGAAATAGGCAAGGCAAGGCAAGGCACTGTGTGTCAGTCACCAGACCATTTGTATCTCAACACTGTACAGAGCCATGCCGGCTGACGTGCGCTTGCGACCGCTGACATCCGCCGCCGCCTGCGCCAGGTCAAGCCGCTGCTGCGCTGGATGACGCCGGCTCAGGTGCGCGCGTGCGTGGCCGAGGCACGACTGATGGCCAGCCCCGAGGTGCTCGAGTACCTGCAGCTGGCCGAGGCCCGCGAGCAGCCCACCAGCTCAGGTGCGCACCAGGTCACGCTGGACGAGAAGGGCGGCGGCTACATCTACGTGCTGGCCGAGGAGCGCGCTGTCAAGCTGCCGCACGAACACCTGCTGGAGGCGGCCAAGTTCTTCAAGCAAGGTGAGTGGAAGAGGAGCTTTGAGCTCAGAAAGGCTTCCCATGCGCTCTGCGTCGTGCCTGTTCGATTAATAAGGTAGCTTTGTCTGTGACTGCCACACCGTGTGGTCCGGCAGATTGAGTACTCGCCACAGGCCGGCATCACCTTGCTCGGGCATGCATTTGTCAATGGTTTAGTGTTCTGATAGCTGGCGATTGGCAGTCATCTCAGTTTGTATTTCCCGTGTGTGCTGATTTCAGTTTTGTGGGTGATGTCGGAATCGCGGATATGTTGGTTGTGAAGTATCGAGCACTTCTCAGCTACGTGGCCTTCCCACAAGACTGGGGCTGATTTATGATATACTAGTTGTACATCCATTGTAAAATGCATGTGTTTGGTCATACTTAACAAATTATTTGACTTGATTTTCCTTGAAACGAGCAGAAAATCGTCATTCTGAAGGTTAGTTTTCAGTCGCAACAAACCTGGAGCCCTTGAAATGATGGCATCGTTCTGTTTTGTTCAGGGTGGAACCACGGGGAAATAACCGACGCGTTAGTGGAGGTATATCAGCCCCCTCTTGCTCCCTTTGCGCTCGTGTTCAATCCTACACTTTGCGGCACAAGGAGAATAGCTCCAAACAAAATAAAAGAACGTCAGTTGAATATGAAAAGTACACCGCAGCGTGTTTATGATTCAATTAAAGCGGACTTTGCGGTAGGTCCCATTCCTTTAACACGCGCCCGGGTGGCCGGCCAGATACCCTTCGCTCGGGTGGAGGGGTCAATTTGACCCCCCCCCCTCGAGATCTCGGAAACTAAGGTATCTAGAGACACCAAATTTACAGGGCGTCTTGACCTGTACGTGAACTCACTTAGCTTCAAGTTTGAGTTTCCTAGGTCATGATCCTCAGGTCAAATAAGGTGAAACAAGGTCAAATTCCAGGTTGGTCACCAAAGTGCCCCAGAATTTAGTCAAGTGTTTGTAAGCAAAAGGCCGCCAGCCCATTTGAGGCTAGTGACCTTGTTTGACTTTTTGAAGGTCATGGTGACCAAAATCATGCAAGGCCGCTTTGAGTTTTGCATTTGAATAAGCGACAAAGACTGCGCCAGGCAGTATGTTCCTAAAACAAAATGTCTACCTGGGTCATCTTAGGTCAGTAACCTGTTCTGACCTCTAAAAGTCAATGAAAGATGTAAAATGCCGTTCCCATTGTCAGTAAATTTGAAATGAGCACCAGAAACTATCCCATACAGCAGGCCCTAGAGTAATAAATCAGGTTGGTTGTGACCTTGGTCTGACCTTCATACATGACCTTAGGTCAACGTGATCTACTCATTCAATATTTGTGGTGCCTAAGAAAGCATCTCAGAGATATATGGCTTCGTCAAACACTCCGTTGTTGTATCAGATTGAACGGTTCCGTAGAAATTGCCTTCGCCGAAGCCATGACCAGAATTTGACCTGCCATAGGTCAGCGACCTTACAAGGTGTACCCTATTTTTTATTTAAATCGATCCGCTATTCAATTGTCTACAGCTATGACGCCGCGCCGTTCGGAAACCATTTTGGAAGAACCTTCGGGGGTCAATTTGACCCCCCCCCCACACGAGCGCGTGTTAACATGAGCTTGGGGAAATGGGTGGGGGAGGTCAATCTGACCCTCAACGTTTTTTTTCTGAACAACTTGCGAACGGTGCGGCATAGCCGCGCCGTACTTGGTACGGCTGTTGGCAATTTAGTAGCCGACCTTTCGCTTTACAAATGTGATATTCCTCGTAAGATCATTGACCTAAAGGTCAAAGCCAGGTCGTGGTTGTCATTGAAAGCACCTCCTTGGAAATTGTTTTTATGAGAAAAGGGCGTGTTAGGCGAATTCATACGTCTTTGAGGAGGTTTTTTTAGACAATAGGAGAGTTGAATTTAGGATTACGGTTAATTCCATTGACTGAGTCAGGTATGAAGGTCAGATCGAGGTAAAAGCCAAACCGCTTTATCGCTGGAAAACGTGAAATGAGGAAGTTTTTGACGCCAATTCCCTTTTCAGGAGCATGCTGCCTAGGGTAGTTCTTTATGCTGATTTCGAGGTTTAAATGTTAAAACAATCGCAAATATATCGAGATTGAATGTGGTTGTATGAAGACTGGGAACACTTTAAATATCGATCTTAAGTTCGGTTTGTTTTACCTTTGTGACCCCAAAGGTGACGAGCTAGGAGCTTAGAAATTTTACACAAGCAAACGTAGATTGATTGAAACTTACATTGATTACATGGCGAACTTACTTACAAACACCACATACCTTGAGACTTTGTGTCTGGCTCTCATTTTAAATCCGTGGAGCCAAATTGACCCCACACTCACCCCTCCCCCCCTCCCCCGATTGTGCTCAAACCTTCATCCGGGCCCGTGTGAGGTTAACCTGCTTAGTTGATAGCCATGCTCGATAACGTTACATTTTGGTCTCCTCGCGACTTGATGTCAGCATGCATGTTTCCAGTTGCCAAGTCTACGACGCTGCCAAGCGACAGCTACCGCTCGTAGGTCTGTTTGACCTGTGAACCAGCTGTCTGTGGATGTATGTCTTGCTGCAATCTGAGGCATCTCGGCCTCGGTCTGGTCTGGGCCTTTTCAGGCAGGGTCTGCTATACGAGGAGTTTGTGCGGCGCTGCTTCCCCCTGCCTGTTCATGAACTTCTCGCGATTCTCTGATCTTGTGGCAAACCATATTGGGCTGGGAACATGCGACGCATCAGGACCTGTTCAGGTACTGCATGCGTTTGTTTGAAAGCTGCCGTCCCGGTACCACTGTCCTTGAGCTGTTTGTCTTTGCTACGCTGGCGTCGCACTTTGGGTTATCTGTCATTTTTTTTTGTACTCCCACTAGACCTCTGTTTAACTGGTATGGTTCTTCCTGAATGCTATCGCCCTGCGTTCGTCATAGCATGCTCATATCATCGTTCCTTGGCGGTATGGAACATAAGTTGAATTGAATTAGCAGCCATTTTCGCTTTGCTCTGACTTTGAACTTGGATGCATGTCGGAGAAGAAACAAATTTCCGAAGGGCTTTGTTGTATTCGTACGCCTGTGCATGCAGTGATGAGACGATGTGGGTCGAGATTCTAGATGGTCGTAGACGGTCCATGAAAGTTGACTGGAACCATGTA